CCCCAAAACCCCAAAACCCCAAAACCCCAAAACCCCTAGAGTTTGAATCAATATTGAATCTTGTGAGATTTAAATTCCTATTTTTGAAAATGGCCATTCGTTGCCTTCAACGTTAGCAAACTCGTACTCATCTTGAAGGTAGAATTTACCTGAATTCTCACATAACCCAATTGAAATTTCAGGAATTACATTCCTGAAGAACCTGACTGGGTAACTTTTGCAAATATGTCTGAGATCGACCATGAAGACCTCAGAGAATCTGAGTGATCTCAGAATCTCTTCATTTACTTCTACAGGTCTATAGGAATCAGCAGTGACTTGTGTTTCAAGCCATTCAAGCATTCTTTGAGTGAACAGATCATTCTCATCCTGGTTATTCTGTTGGTTGAATGTTAGAGTTTGTTCCTCGCTGTAAATATTTTCCTTCCAGCCATCAGACTCAGGTTTTGTCCTCTGAGAGGGTCTAGAACTTGGTGAAGAAATAGTCTCGTCTGGCTCTTCTTTCAGCAATTCAATAGCATTTGAGAGTGGAATTCTAGATTCTGGCATAAATTCTACCAAAGGAAGAGTATCAAATCCCACAAAATTCCTCACAAATGGGTGTCCGCAAGCTGAACAATGATCTCCAGTTTGGTTTACCAAAGCATTAGCATTCATGCATCTGTTACATATCGGTTGGTATTGCTCTTTATCAGAGAATGGTTTACATCTAATTTTTAAGGCAGCTAGATCAATCTGTTCTTGCCATTCAGGAGATATCTTTAAAGATTGTAACTTTTCATACCCAAATCTAGCAGTTCTGAATGCTTCAAATTTGGATCCCATGTGACTAAGTCCATAGTAAATGTTCATTTTATTGATCCCGGGTAAGCTTTTGCTACTCATAGTGTTTACCAAAAATCTGGAAGAGTTAAAAATTGTCTCATTGATCAAAGATCCATGAACCTTACTATAGAATGGGTCCTCTATTAGTCTATGGACATGTTCGTAAGCATAATATATTTCAGCTTTGCTGGAATTCTCTTCGAATCTTTTGATATTCTTTATATCTTGAGGCGATGGATGTACAGCATCTTCGACGAGCCTCAAATATTCTCATGCTAAGATAAAAAGATATTTAGCAGCATCTTTAAACCTTCTCTCCATTACTGCGTTCTTTGTCAGGAACTCGATGATTCTTAAAGCAAGTTCAGGCTTCTTGGCCTTCTTATAAGCAGCTTGGGCCTCTTCGAACCGATCGTTCGCAGCTAACCAATCGGCATAAGGGAGGTATACCTTGTCAGCATATTGGGGATGTGTCTTGAGTTGATTCAATGCTTCATCCCACTGATGGAACTCGATATGAAGTGCCATCAAACCTTTGATATCTCCTAGCTTCAACAATGCTTGTTTGGCATAAGTATGATTATGATTTTCTTTAAAGTACTTTGAACATAGAAGGATTTCTTGGTTATGCTTATCTTTATCTAGGATTTTCAGAATGTTTAGGATAGAGTCTAGTACTCCTTTATTCCCATACACATCAATAGCTTCTTTAAACTTTTTACATTTTATGTATAGGTTAGCTGCTTCCTTCCAATTTCCATTTTCTTCTTCATCTTTTGCACGAATTATAGTCATTTCATTATCCATGATCTCTCCTTGTCCATATTTCTGGGCAAGAGTTGTTGCTTCTTTAAACTATAACTTAGAACTCCAAATTTACCTTTCTCAGCATAGTGTACATCTCAATTGCCTTTTTGACAAGTTTATTCTTTCAAAGGAGCATAGCAGCTTCTTTGAATTTTCCAAGATAGCACATTATTTCACCTTCCAGCTCTATCTTGTTCAGCTGTTTCCTTCGATCTGCATTTTCAGATCGATCTCATAAATCAAGGAACTTAAGGTCTCTGATCCTGGAGAATGCTCTCTTTGACATTTCAAAGTCATTGCCTTTCAGAGCTTCTATTCCTAAGGATCTCCAGTCCTGCTCTGTTACTCCTAATCAAGCAATCTTGTAAGCCATCTTGAAATCTTTTTGAAGGTATTGGTAAAAAGTCCCTGATTGGGGTACATCAATAGCTGTCATTGAGCCATCGAATAGAGTGAAAATTTTGGAGCCTTTAAATCCCACTATCTCTCCTATCATTCTCTGGCTTGATGGAGGAAGATCACCAGTCTTGATATAGAGTTGTCCATTTCCTGTGTAAGAAAGCATCTCATCCATTTCGAGATTCCATGAGACTGACTCTACATTTGTCTCTTGATGTAGTAACTTCTTAGAGAGAATATCGTAAATAAACAAATTGTTGAATTCATCTACAACAGCAACTTTCTCCCTGCTAGCATTAATATCAACTGACTTGATAGCTGTAGATTGCTTTATTAGCAAGATTGGAAAAGCATTATCAACAAAGACTTTGAAAATACTTCCATCTTTTAGCCCCACAACAAGTCCTTCCTTCTTTGGAGGGCCTCCAATTACCTTGGCATACTTTATTTCTGAGTCCATGATCCATTCTTGCTCTATCACTCCGTTAAAGCTGAGAAGCTGAAGTTTGTTCCCATTGTAAAGAATGATATGGTGAGCAAGAACTAGAAGATCTTCGCACTCAAGCTTCTTGGAGATCTTTTTATATGCCTTATACTTCATATCAAGAGGGTCAGCAGCATTCACACTATAGATGATCAATTTTTCAGGCAATTGCACAGCTAATCTATCTTTATAAATAGAGATTCTTCTGATGTAGTCTCTACATCTGATCTTAACTCTCGTTTCTGACACTAAGTGTTGGATAATAACATCAGTCATCAGGTCCCTATAGGCATATCTTTCATTGTAAAATCCATGAACAGTCTTGAATTCAACATCATAGATACTAAGTTCTCCTCCATTGGTACTTCCAAGAACTTTGTTAGTCTCTGCTTGGACTGAGCATGAGAAAATCCAATCGTTCATTTCTCCTATTTCTCCAAGCTTAACTCCATCTTTGTTCCAAAGGGTTAACTTTTTATTGGTGCCACCAATCACCATGTAATGTCCACCTGAGAAATACGAGATACTTAGAGGGTCAAATCCAAGTTTCTTATCAAGTCCAATCTGGTTGAAGGACTTTCCTCCTGCTATACTATAAATAGACAGTTTCTCATCCCATGAGCCAATAGCAAGTGTATTATCTGTTGTATCGAATTTCTTTGGACAGAATTGAACAGTCCATATTGGTGAAACTGTCTTCATCAGCTCAGCTAGTTTCCCTCCATTCTTATCTCTGAGCAGAACGCTTCCATTATATCATCCAATTGCTAGAAGTTGGCCATCTGGAGACCAGTCTGCACATAGACCTTTAGCTGGCAAATCATGCTTCACTACATTACTTTGATCAAGAGTCCATAATCCGAAATCTCGGTCTGTTACCGATACAAGGCTATTCAGCACAGGATTATATGCTAAAAACTGGATTGGATCTTTATGATTGTACTTTAGGAGACCTTCTTTAGATATTGACCAGATTACCACAGTTTTATCAGCACTTCCAGAGGCAAATCTGAGTCCATCTTTAGAGAAAGCAACACAGTAAACTTCACCCTTATGCCCTCTAATAGAATCTTCGTATTCAAGCGTGTTTGCGTTATAGAAAAAGATTCGATCTCCCACAGCTACAAGTATATTCCTGCCATCTGGGCTATAGCAGACTGAATAGATCGTATTGGTCAAGGTCTCATCACTTGGAGGAGGGATCTGGAAATTACAGGCTATCTTAGTCCTCATCTTAAATTTAAATATTTCAAAACTATATATATGATATGGGGTTTTGGGGTTTTGGGGTTTTGGGGTTTTGGGG